CACGTTACGGCATGATTAATGCTGCATTAAAAAAGTCATCCATAAGCGGTCTTTATCCAGAGAAGACGACCAACATGTGAACATGTGAACACGTTCACGTGTGAACGTTCACGTGTTCACGTGAATTAGATATGTGAACATGGAAATAAAGATATCGAAAGGAATAGCACATGTAACAAAAATTGAGGATTTGAGCATTTTAAAGTGTACAAATACATATACACATACCTGTACTCTTTGAGTAAAGGTATGTGTAACAAGCGCGGTCACAACATATGAAATTTAGTCAAGGTATTTCCAATGTAAGTTCTCGGATCAGGTTTTTTTTATTTTGCACTTTACCAAAATGGCTCTATTTAGAGTAATACCGATAAAAAACAACACGCACGGACACACACACATACACACACATACACGCATACACGCACACGCACATACACGCATACACGCACACACACACACACACACACACATAGAAAGACGCGGTCGTCGCAGAGGGCATCTGATGACAATGATGATGAACGCCTCTTGTTTTATTCATAATTATTACGACCCTCCATCCGTCACATCTTCTTCCTCATTGAATGGCGCATCTGCCGGATAAAATATCTTACGTCAGTCATATCTTCTAAACTAATTTCATGTTTTCTGGGTTTTTTTGCAACATCACACCAGTAACGTATCAAATCAGTAACATCAGACTAACTCTATCTAACTTTTGCATCGCCATTAAGCATCGTGACATTTCAACGACGTAGCAATTTATTATTTTGTTTGTCTTCCTTGTTGTTTCGTTACTTCTTAAAAAATGACGTCACTCACTGATAACATCGCGCCTAAATAATTTTGCAACACTTGGCTTATATTTTATATAATATTTCACACATCACTCTTAGATTTTAGGATGACAAAGCGCTGAGACGAAAGAATTGCTGTGGCAGGATCAGCAAACTAGCAAGGAATTTAAAAAATTTGAACAGACCAATATGACGCATGTGTCTGTCTCTCTGTCTATCTGCCTGCTTACCTGTTTGTCTGTCTGCCAGTCAGTCTGTCTGTCTGTTTATTTACCTGTCTGCCTCTACTGTCTGTCTGCCCATTTACATGCTTGTTTCTCTGCCTGTCTGTCTGTCTGTCTGTCCATTTACATGCATTTTTCTCTGCCTGTCTGTCTGCCCATTTAAATGCTTGTTTTTCTGCCTGTCTGTCTGTCTGTCCATTTACATGCTTGTTTCTCTGCCTGTCTGTCTGCCCATTTAAATGCTTGTTTCTCTGCCTGTCTGTCTATCTGTCCATTTACATGCTTGTTTCTCTGCCTGTCTGTCTATCTGTCCATTTACATGCTTGTTTCTCTGCCTGTTTGTCTGTCTCCATGCCGGCCTATCTGCTAATTTCTTTCTCTACATGTTTGTCCGTCTACCTGTCAGTTCTTTGCCTGTCTGCGTGTCTGTCCTTTTTTCTGCCTGCTTGCCTCTCTGCTTGCCTGCCCGTCTCTGTTCTGCTGTATATCGGACCGAATGATGAATAACCGTGCGCCACATAGAGTGCATAAAAACATAAGCCCCTGGATCATAAGGTTCATAAATTCATTCCTCACTTGCTAGACCTCACACTCTTTCAAATTGTCCTCGTGTATGATTGTATGTGTGTATGTATGTGTGTGTGTGTATGTGTGTGTGTGTGTGTGTGTATGTGTCTATGTTTAAGTTTGTTGTGTATCTGCATAAATATTTGCACGATTGCTTCGTCCTTATATGTTCCTCTTGCCTGTACGTGCGGTTGGTTTGTATTGTTTTAACAAATATTTTATTAATTTGACTTTTATGTTTTGTTTGTATGCTTATGTATATTTGCTTATGCATGTATGTCAGTGTGTGTTTGTCTGTCTACGTTAAATTGAGCATGTGAATATGTATGCGTGTTGGCTGGCATGAACTTTGAAAGGATTGAAACGTGCATTTGAGCGTTTGTGTTCATCTCTTGCGTTGTTGAAATTAACGTTTAAATAATTCCAGAGAATGTTGGAAGCATATTTCTAGTTGATATCAGCCCATATAATCAGTCTACTATGCAGTTAAACTTGCATAAACATTACACCACGCATGCAACCACAAACATGCAAAAAACATCATTAAAAATTATAAAGCATGTAAATGTAATATTAATCACATACGAACACATGTTTCTACATACAAACACACATACAAACATGCTGGATAAATGGGAATGACACATACAAACACGTTGAATACATTCCTCTACATACAAACATACATACAAACATGTTGAATAAATACCTTCACATACAAACACACATACAAATAGGTTGAATAAATACCTTCACATACAAACACACATACAAACAAGTTGAATAAATACCTTCACATACAAACACACATACAAACAGGTTGAATAAATACCTTCACATACAAACACACATACAAATAGGTTGAATAAATACCTTCACATACAAACACACATACAAACAGGTTGAATAAATACCTTCACATACAAACACACATACAAATAGGTTGAATAAATATCTTCACATACAAACACACATACAAACAGGTTGAAGTTTGTACGTGTAGGCAATGGTTGAGAGATTGTTTTAACGCGGCTATAAACGCTCGCTCGAAAAGACACGAAAATAATTCTGATTTATAGAGTACCGTTGCTTGCTCGCCGGTCGATCGTCTTGTTGTTTGTGTTGTTGTAGTTTGTGTTGTTGTAGTTTGTGTTGTTGTAGTTTGTGTTGTTGTAGTTTGTGTTGTTGTAGTTTGTGTTGTTGTTGTTTGTGTTGTTGTTGTGTTGTTTTAGTGTTGTTGTTTGTGTTGTTGTTAATGTACGTTTTGTTGATGTAGTATGTTCGTGTTGTTTGTGATTTTGTTATTGTATGTGTTGTTGTTTGGGTTGTTGGTACTGTCTGTTGTTAGTGCTATTTGTTTTTGTTGTTGCTTGTTTTTTCTTATAGATGTTGTCCGTGATGCTGATGATCGTGCAAATGTATGAGTTGTTGTTGTTGTTGCTGTTTTGACTATACTCGCACATGTTTTAATCTTTGTTTTATGATACGTTATAGTTTATTGCTTGTTTTGTTGT